TAATCTACTTATAATCACTTCATGGTTTATAAATCTAAGGTTGCTGTTTTTTTCATTTTGTTTTTTTCATCAAGATTTGAAGATAGTTGAATACTAACCATCATATTCCTAAATTTGAACTGAGGATAGACGTGGTTTCAAGTATAAAAGCGAACAGTGAACAGTTAATCTTCAAAGACATTTTGTTTACACGTAAGATATGGAGCTTTGGGAACAGTGGTCTTATTTAAAACGTTTTTTGTTTTTGTATAGCATGCAGGCCTACTCGCAGCTGGGCGCACAAAGCCCTACCTATCCTGTCCAACCAAGTACAGCCTTCTACAGCGCCCAGCCCATGGGGGAAGGAACGGCTTATGGAGTCCTCTCTCAGTCATACGGCATGACTGGTGAGTTTATTTCCTTCAAATGAAAGTTAATCTAATTACAAAGCTCTCTGTCTGACAACTGAAACCCTGATGTCGTTTTTAAAATGTTGGAGAACAATCTTTGATATTTTTTTTGTTATACATCCCCCCCCCCCCAAAAAAACAACAAGTAAAAAATTTGTTAGTTGGTTGATATGGTAGTTACGTCAAAGGCATATCTAAACATGCAATTAAAGCATTTGAATATCTGTTGATGAGTTATTTGTCTATATGTTTATATAAAGCACAAGATTCACCTATATTCCAAAGTTTTGCAGTTCAGTTAGTTAGAATTGTTACTATGAGGTCACAACTGATATGGACTTTGGAGCGGTATAACAACTGGACTGACAGAATTGTTACTATGAGGTCACAACTGATATGGACTTTGGAGCGGTATAACAACTGGACTGACAGAGTTGTTACTATGAAGTCATAACTGATATGGACTTTGGAGCGGTATAACAACTGGACTGACAGAGTTGTTACTATGAAGTCATAACTGATATGGACTGTGAAGTGGTATAACAACTGGACTGACAGAATTGTTACTATGAGGTCACAACTGATATGGACCTTGGAGCGGTATAACAACTGGACTGACAGAGTTGTTACTATGAAGTCATAACTGATATGGACTTTGGAGCGGTATAACAACTGGACTGACAGAGTTGTTACTATGAAGTCATAACTGATGTGGACTGTGAAGTGGTATAACAACTGGACTGACAGAGTTGTTACTATGAGGTCATAACTGATATGGACTTTGGAACGGTATAACAACTGGACTGACAGAGTTGTTACTATGCAGTCACAACTGATATGGAGTGTGAAGCGGTATAACAAATGGACTGACACAGTTGTTACTATGAGGTCATAACTGATATGGACTGTGAAGCGGTATAACAACTGGACTGACAGAGTTGTTACTATGAGGTCACAACTGATATGGAGTGTGAAGCGGTATAACAACTGGACTGACAGAGTTGTTACTATGCAGTCACAACTGATATGGACTGTGAAGCGGTATAACAAATGGACTGACAGAGTTGTTACTATGAGGTCATAACTGATATGGACTTTGAAGCGGTATAAAAAATGGACTGAGAGAGTTGTTACTCTGAGGTCATAACTGATATGGACTGTGAAGCTGTATAACAAATGGACTTACACAGTTGTTACAATGAGGTCATAATTGATATGGACTTTGGATCGGTATTAAAAGTAGACGGACATAGTTATCTGCCGTGCCATTTACCTAGACTTGTTATTCTGAAATCACTAGAGCTGTTCCAATATTGCTGTTAAGAATTTTTCATATCAGTTAGAGCATTATTGCTACGGTGGCCAAAAGCGCTATACAAACAAACTGAAATGACCTTTTCTCATCAGTTACCTATTATTATTACCTATTAATATTATTGAATAAACATGTTGTACTAAGGTAACTGATAGGACTTGTTAATTTTAAGTTACAGCGTCTTATGATTATGGAGACAATTGTCAAGGCTTCTTTATATCTGTAACTATCAGAGTCACAGCGTCTTATGATTATGGAGACAATGTGTTACCTTAAGAAAATTGTCAAGGCTTCTTTATATCTGTAAGTATCAGAGTCACAGCGTCTTATGATTATGGAGACAATGCGTTACCTTAAGACAATTATCAAGGCTTCTTTATATCTATAAGTATCAGAGTCACAGCGTCTTATGATTATGGAGATAATGCCTTACCTTAAGACAATTGTCAAGGGTTCTTTATATCTGTAACTATCAGAGTCACAGCGTCTTATGATTATGGAGATAATGCGTTACCTTAAGACAATTGTCAAGGCTTCTTTATATCTGTAAGTCTCAGAGTCACGTTTCAAACGACTGATGTTTTAGCTGACTGGTATTCTTTACGGCACTTGATAGCTACACATTTTGACAGTATTATGGGTAGTATTAGTTTGACTAAAAGTATTTATTTTGATCAAATTTCCTTGTTTAGCATGACGTTTAAGCGTGTAAGTTTAGTCTCTGAGAGCTATCTATATTGGTAGTGGTGAAGAAACCATGAGTTGTTTTCTATGACTACAGATGAGATCGCAAGATAGTTACTAAGAGTGGCGAAAATATCACGAGTTAGTTACTAAAAGTGGCGAAAATATCACGAGTTAGTTTTCATGACTGGTGAAGAGGTCACGAGTTAGTTTTCATAACTAGTGAACATATCACGAGCTAGTTTTCATGACTGGTGAAGAGGTCACGAGTTAGTTTTCATGACTGGTGAAGAGGTCACGAGTTAGTTTTCATGACTGGTGAACATATCACGAGTTAGTTTTCATGACTGGTGAAGAGGTCACGAGTTAGTTTTCATGACTGGTGAAGAGGTCACGAGTTAGTTTTCATGACTGGTGAAGAGGTCACGAGTTAGTTTTCATGACTGGTGAACAGGTCACGAGTTATTTTTCATGACTGGTGAAGAGGTCACGAGTTAGTTTTCATGACTGGTGAACATATCACGAGTTAGTTTTCATGACTGGAAAATTATTATTATTATATTATTAGCGGTATATTACAGAGCTAGTTTTTTTTTATTGCAGCTGCAAGAACGTTTGTACAGCAGGGGAAACCAGGCTCTCCGTCGATTCCACAAGCTACGTACTTATCTCCTTATGGAAACAACTTTGGAACTGGTAGCGGGACTCATTCAACACAAAACAGCTACAACTACGGTAAGAGGAATAACCTTACGATATTATTGTGGTTTGGGTGCACTGTACCCCCTCACAGTTCTGAAGATATTGTAGTTATCGAACGTAGAAAACTTGCTTATTTTTACACGGATCTGTTGAATAATGTACGACCACTGATTTTAGATATAAGCGACCCAGACACGAGTAACCATGTGCTAACATCTGTCGTTTTAATATCGAAGTTCATATTTGATCCAAGTTGCTCCTACCGCACGACCGTTTTACTAATATTGATTAGATTAAAACACGTATACGTTTAATGTGATTAAAACACGTATACGTTTAATGTTTAATTACTTTTGTTTTTACAGTTGGTGTAATTATACTGATCGTAATCTGGAGTGAACTTTGTTTATTGTAACTTTGTGCGTATTTCTAGGCCCGGCATGGCCAGGTGGTTAAGGCACTCGCAATCTGAGGGTCGCGGGTTCGAATCCCCGTCACACCAAACATGCTCGCCCTTTCAGCCGTGGGGGCGTTATAATGTGACGGTCAATCCCACTATTCGTTGGTAAAAGAGTAGCCCAAGAGTTGGCGGTGGGTGGTGATGACTAGCTGCCTTCCCTCTAGTCTTACACTGCTAAATTAGGGACGGCTAGCGCAGATAGTTCTCGTGTAGCTTTGCGCGAAATTCAAAAGCAAAGAAACAAGCGTATTTCTATCCACAATACTCTGATAATAAAATAATTTATAGGTATAGTTTTTGTGATCAGGATTTTCTTTGTTTATTAAACGTTCAATAAGACTACATAACTGTGTTCATTTTACGATTTTTTTTTCGAAAATATTTTTTCCAGGAACAATGTACCCATCTTCCACCTTCCCTGGAATTGCGTCCAATGCACAGGGTTTCAGTTCTTCCCAACAGGTTCGTACTTTTTACACTATGACGGAGGCCTATTAGACAGTCTCAAACTAAAGTTTTGTATATATATATATATATGTGCTTATTTTGAATGTTTATTAAACATAGGGGATGTTTATTAAAAAAAATCTATACTGAAAATGACTGTATCTTAAGAACTACGTACCATAGGGGAACTAATTATCCTCAGGGGCATAAATCATAAGTTTTATCAAGGACATCTTGGACATTCTGCAAATGATCCTAACAACTGTCACGAAGTATGTTTTATTTTTTATTGAAGCTACTGCAAGTATAATCTGTTCTGTACATGTTCATTGGTTCTCGCAACATTCTGCAAAGTGTCCTAAAAACTGTCACGACGTATGTTTTATTTTTTATTGAAGCTACTGCAAGTATAATCTGTTCTGTACATGTTCATTGGTTCTCGCAACATTCTGCAAAGTGTCCTAAAAACTGTCACGAAGTATGTTTTATTTTTTATTGAAGCTACTGCAAGTATAATCTGTTCTGTACATGTTCATTGGTTCTCGCAACATTCTGCAAAGTGTCCTAAAAACTGTCACGAAGTATGTTTTATTTTTTATTGAAGCTACTGCAGGTATAATCTGTTCTGTACAGTGTTCAATAGTTCTCGCAACATTCTGCACACTGTTATACATTTTTTCTATCTACCATCCTCGTATTGCTGATAGAGGGGAATATACGCAATGGTAGTTTGGAAGAAAATCAGTCGAGTGTAAAGTATATCTTTGTCTTGAAAAATATTCTGTCGTGTCCAGTTTTTTTTTGCATAAAATTTATGATTCTCGATGTATCTCTGGTCAAGCTTCGTTACCCTGGAACAAGTAGTTTTTTTGAGTTATAATAATTTCAAATATGGTATTTTGTCTCTTTATTTACAACAAAGTTATTTTGTGAAGGACCTGTAGCTCATCTTACAATAAGAGTGTATTGTATAACAAATACCAGAAGTTTTTACCATTTTTAAAAACATGATCCTTGTGTAAATGTGTGAACCTTCATCTCGAGTGATACTTGTGTTGAGTTGTAACATATTCTTAATGTTTAAAACATGATCCTTGTGTAAATGTGTGAAACTTCATCTCCAGTTATACTTGTGTTGAGTTGTAACATATTCTTAATGTTTAAAACATGATCCTTGTGTAAATGTGTGAACCTTCATCTCGAGTGATACTTGTGTTGAGTTGTAACATATTCTTAATGTTTAAAACATGATCCTTGTGTAAATGTGTGAACCTTCATCTCGAGTGATACTTGTGTTGAGTTGTAACATATTCTTAATGTTTAAAACATGATCCTTGTGTAAATGTGTGAACCTTCATTTCGAGTGATACTTGTGTTGAGTTGTAACATATTCTTAATGTTTAAAACATGATCCTTGTGTAAATGTGTGAACCTTCATTTCGAGTGATACTTGTGTTGAGTTGTAACATATTCTTAATGTTTAAAACATGATCCTTGTGTAAATGTGTGAACCTTCATTTCGAGTGATATTTGTGTTGAGTTGTAACATATTATTAATGCT